TTGGAGAAATAAAAAAAAATACAAAAAATAAAAAAAACAAAATTCGAATAAAAAAGTACTATGTAAGATTTAAATGTCCTTTCCTAATTATCCAAGTCTAGTTTCTATTTATAATAGAGGTAATTTTCTACGAAGATGATTTAACTTGGTTAACCTGATTTAAATTTAATGTCATATAATTTATAATTAGGGTATCATTAAAAATAACCTTATTAGGATATTCATAATTATTGTAAGTATACTTTTCACTTTCTAATATAAAAGAGAAACTAGTTTTATTCTAGATAATTTATACTTTATTTCCTATATTTTGAGATATAAATAAGTAGTAATGATATATATATATATATATATATATATATATATATATATATATATATATATATATATATATATATATAAAAGAAAACTAGAATATTTGACTATTTTATAAATTTTAATTAAAAATTGATTCCACACAAAAATTTAGTCAATTTTTTTTTATTTTATTTCAATTTTGTTGAGTTTGTCTTTATTTCATTAAAATTTAATTATTTAAAATAATTGACCAATTTCTAATATAATTTTCAGTACACAGTTGAAGCGACTGGTTATGTCCGATTTCCAAGTTTCAAGCCTAACTATCAAAAACATATTTCAAACTTAAGAAAAACACAACTCCAATCAACAAATAATTCAACTTCTTATTGACAACAAAAATTTCAACGAAAGCATTGTTTCAATTTTCAATGTGATGATAATAACACTCAATTTTGTTTTTTCACGAGAAATTTTAGAAAAATATCTATAAAAAATATTATTTTTTTCATAAGCGACAACTTATACAAATTAGTTTATGTATAAACTAGTTTTAACTTATGAATTTTTTTATATTTTTTTCTTCTATATATTCTTATAAAGAAACTTATTAAAAAAAAAATTATATATATATATATATATATATATAATATTATAAATACTTTGTTTTTGTGCGTGATATTTAATGATAATAGTTTATCAAAGTTTGGTAATCTTGATATTAATGAAAGTTTATATAAATATATTTTAGGATTTTATTTTACGGTGAAACATTGATGGATGTTTAAGATTTTAGAAATAAATAATATATTATTAATAAATAATAAATAAATATGAAAGAAAATAAAAAAATATTAAAAAAATAAGAGACTAAAATTATAAATATATAATTAAATATATTTAATAATGATTAAATTTAAGTGACTTAAAAAGTTAAAATTTTTTGAAAACACTAAATCCCATTTCATTTTCTACTAAACTCACCCTGTATTAGATTTCACACCGTTGAAATGGAAAAATTGTGAAAAAAAAATGTTATGATTTTGCAAGTTTGAGTTATTTGAATTAATAATGTGACTAGGTTTCAGTTAAAAAGTTAATTGTATTTAAAATTATTTAAAGTTGTTTTATTATAATATTTCAAAGAAATGTTTTATTTTTCTCAAATATGAAAATGAAGAAGTGTTTCACTATATATATATATTATAATTAAAATTGTAACTACTGGAAAAAATTAATCCCTTGGTCAGTGACGGATCTTTACCAATAATCTTGGGAACCAAATAATATATTATTAATAAATATAAAAGAAAGAAAAAAGATGAAATGATAAAATTATAAATATATACTTAAATATATTAAATAATCATTAAATTTGAGGAGGACAAAATCATAGATTATATGAGAATTATAAAATTAAGAAGAAAGAAAAAAGATAAATTAATTATAAATATATAAATAAATATATTAAATATTGATTGTTATTGCTTTCAAAATCATTTTGAACTAGGATCGCACGGTTCCGTTCCGAAGATCATCCGTCACTGCCTTGCTCGTTGTAACTCTTACGAATATGATCAAATATTTTGACTGTATTCGATAAAATTGAAATACAGTAAAGAAAGTAAAACTGACGAAGACAATTAATGAAATGAAAAAAAAATGACCCTTATAATATTATGTTTTTCAACTTTGTTGAGTCAATTTCTTTGTACTATGGTTGAAATAAAACCAGACAAAATAAAAACCTTTTAATCATAAATGCATAAAGTCTTTGGAGCTGTTTACTTCATACTTAATTCTTGAAATGACACGACCACCAAAATAAAATAAATTCTTGAAAGGTGAATTACTTTCAGAGAATAATTTCCCTCTAACTATTTGTATCAGCATTTTAGAAAATGAAATATTGTTTTTGTTTTAATTGAAATTCTTAATAGCTTCAAGACAATTAATTTGAATTTAGAATACATCCAACCAATCCAACTTAGTGATGAACTAACACCAATTCTATAAATTATTACATGAAGAGTTTTATAATGGTGTATATAATCTTAAGTTTAGTAGTGAAAGTAATTATAAATTAAAGATTAATATTTTGTAAGTTAATTTAAATAATTATAAATAAAAAAATATTTTTTTTAATTTTATTTCCTTAAAATTATCCTCTCTCTACAGTTCACAATCTTTTCATTTTTTCACTTCATTTTCATTTTTTTAGTGCTTCTAAAGTGATGTAAAAGTTGTTATAGAGTAAGTTCTTCTTGGTCGTTTTCTAAATAAGTTTGCATGTAAGATTTTTAAATTACATGTGGGATTAGGGTTTTTTTATGTGTGATTTTTTTTTAAATATGAACATTAATTAATATAAGATCATATTAATATATTCAATTTTTTTTTATTCTAGGTGACCATGATTTACTTTCCTATGAGATTGAGAGAGTTGGAGCATTAAAAACTTGAAATTTCGAAAAAAAAAAGAAGAAGAAAGAAGCAAAAGAAGGTAAGAAAAGATATTTTTAGAATAAAACGAAAATGAGGTTGAAAGATAAGGATTTTTTTATGAAATTTTTCGTTTAAAATGATTTTATAATTTGAGCAATGAGCCTATCAAAGAAGAGATAATTATCATGATTTCTTTTCTTTTAAATAAAAGATTATTAGATAAATGAGACTTAACTTTTATATTTTGATTTAAGTGAGATTTTCTGTTGTTTAAGTGACAATATTTTCACTTTTAAGTGAAAATATTACAGAGAGAAATAATAAATCTATAAGAGATTTCACTTAAATAATATATATATATATATATATATATATATATATATATATAATTATATAATTATAATGATATGTATGTAATATTGATAATTTAATTTTCATCTGATTGATACGTAGTGTATCTTGTATTTTGAATACATAATAAATGACTTTGACATAAATGTGTGTGATTGTGTGCACATGAGAGAAAGAAAAAGAGGAGCATTATGTTTGTATAAAATGATGAATGTTATGCTCTAATATAATGAATACTAGAGAGATATCCTATATGACAGAGGTTAGTGTGAGTAAATATTTGTTGAAAGATATTTTAACTCTACTTGTTATTATAATCACATAGATAAAAAATTAGATAGTGAAGTTAAATGATATTTCTTTACTTGATTTGCTAATTGTGAATAACATGTAAGTTTTTTGAATTTATCTTATAGAGTGTGTGAAATATCTTTTCAAGTACTCTTGTGTATATGGAAAAATTGTCATAAAGTAAATATATGAGTTTGATTTTAATGTCTAATATTTTAAAAGTTGTTCTTGTTTAAGTAGAATGATAAATTTGTATAAATATGTTACATAATGTGATGACATAAATACTTCTTAAATTATTAGACATATAAAATTGTTTTATAAAAATATTATTGTAACGTAAAACAAAGTTTTTAAAAAAATATACTTTATTATTTTACTTTTCTTTATATATATATATATATTTATTTATTTATTTTAGGAGAGATTCTATATAACTTGTAAATGATATGATTATGATTTTTAAGTGTTCAACTTTCAAATATATATATTAACTTTTTTTAACACATAAGGCAGAGACATTAAGCAATACATAAATTACACAAATAAGTTTGAAATATTTAAAAAACCTAAATTATTTTGGTCGCCAAGACGGATTAAAATAAATTTAAAATTTAAGTTGCTTAATACAAAGTTATTCAGTTAACTTTTATGATTGAAAAAAATTTGGAGTAAATAGTATATAATCATAATCATGTAAAAATAATCTAAGTAGAAATTTCATCTTGTATAATAAATATAGCTTAAAATGATATTAACTATAATTTATTGATTATATTAAAAAATAAGTTTTAATTCATAATGTAAAACCTCAAAGCGATGATGGTACATACAATTAATTTTTTAAAGTTTTTGATGAGTTTCTAAAACATGAAATAACTCTCTTCAAGACATGAAGTACTAAACGTAAGTTTTAAGCAAAGTTTTGATGAGTAGTTTCTTCTCTTTTTCTCATTATCAAACATTACACCTTAATTCTTTATTTTCTATTCACGAAAGTAAAGACACTGTGAAATCCCATAGAAACAAATTCTTAATTCTTAATAACTTAAGTAAAACCAATTTGTTTTTTGCAAACTTAGAATCACCTAATTGAACAACCTAATTATCCACTTATTAAATCAGGTAGGATTGATGAACAAATTTAACAGTAAGATTGGATTGACAAAATGGTGGGTTTGGTGTGACACATGATATGATACCAACCTCAACCTCTGAGGAGAGAACACATCATAGCATAACAGAACATAACCATTTGTGAGAAGATAAGAAGAACACGTTCAACAAAATTTACTCATACAAAGTAGTTACTTACACTTTACCTAGATACATACGTTATTATAGTTACCTAGGTAAGTACGAGTAACGATGTTGTTGTTTTCCATCCCATGTATGAAGCAAAAAAAGCAAAGCTGAGTCGACAAAATACACCAACAACACTGAACAGTCTCTTTCTTCTCTCTCTTTAGAACTTCAAATTCAAAAAAGTTAGTCACATAATATAATATACTCCACCACCGCCACCAGCACAAGCACCAGCACCAATAACAGCACAATTTTCAAAGCCCACGCGCCGCCACAACCGCCGTCACGCGCGGCCTTTATGAATCATCGCCATGGGCGGAGTCACCTCTTCGATCGCCGCCAAGTTCGCGTTTTTCCCGCCGCAGCCGCCCTCCTACACGGTGGTCGCCGCCGAGGGTGGTGCAGACTCTACGCCGCCGAGGCTTCTCATTCCCGAGGTTCCGATGAAGGACAACGTTGATGTGCTCAGACTTCGGACGCGCCGAGGTAACGAAATCGTTGCGGTGTATGTTAAGTACCATAGACCCACCTGCACCATGCTCTATTCTCACGGGAATGCCGCGGATTTGGGCCAAATGTTCGAACTTTTCGCCGAATTGAGCCACAGGCTTCGCCTCAATGTTATGGGGTACTTTTCCCTTTTTCAGTTTTAATAATTTCCTTTTAAAATAATTAGCTTGATGTTGATGTTGTTGTGTTTGGTTTTATCTAGTTTGGATGTTGTTTGCATTAATTTGTTGTCTGTGATGATCTTGGCGGAACGAGAATGTTCTGTTCGGTATTTAATTGGTTTGCCTTTTTTACTTTGATGTTTTAATAATTGATGCGTTGAGTTATTGTTCTTTAAATAATTATAATTTTTATTTTGCTAACTTAAGCATCCGGTGGAGTTTGTTTTGATTAAGCTTCAATTGCATGCTCTTTTGACGGTTTTGTTTTATGGTTGAAGTTGGAATTGGTTACGGTTGTAGTGTTTTTGTGATGGCTATGAAGGAAAAAGGTGATTTAAGGAAGGTTCTGTTTTCTTGAGGGTAGTTACGGCGGAATCATAATGATAGCGGCGAAGTTATAGAGGAACAGATAAGGGAGTTGACTTTGTTCTAGAGAAGTCAGCTACAGTAAAGGAAAATTTGATTCCTGAAGGAATATTCTTTTTCTGTTTAGATGATTCTTTACATAAAAGATGATACTGAAAAAATTAAAGTTAAGTGGATCGATGAGTACCTGTTATCTGTCTGTGTAGTGTTGAAACTTGAAAGTTCTGTTGCCTGTTCTTGTGTCTTGTTAGCATTGCTATTCTGAAGAGCTGAAGCTGGATCTGTCTTGTTGTCTTCGTTTTTATGATGCGATGATTAGGCTGCTTGTAACAGGTAGCTTTGGAAGGTTATTTTTCTTTCCATGTGTGATGAAGTTTGAGGTGTTGGATTATATGGAGCTTAGCTCCTTCTTTCCCTGTGTGTCAAATTGACTAGTAACTAGGAAATTGGAACTTGCTATCTCAATAAGTCTTGATTATGAGTGGTGATCATGATTTAGAATTTGGCCTGGTATCGTTTTTATTGATCAAGGTTATGAATGATTTGTTCTTATTTGTGATACTGTATAAAGTCATAACATAACATGTCAGCATATACATAGTACAGTATTATGTGTTGTTACTGTTAAGCTTGTTAGGTGAAGCCTATTACTATAGTTTGTTACAGTTTTGATGTACTTATGTTCTGCTACTGTTTGTTTGTTTAAATTTAAACTGTTGCTGTAATTTGATACCTTCTGTTGTAGCTGAACTACAATGCAGTTACAGCTTCTAACCTTCAGTTAGTATACAAAGTTCTGTCTGTCAGAGATGACACTTTCAAATGCTTTAACGTTAATGGATAGATTTTCTGTCTTAGATGCTGTGAATTACTCTCTCTCATTCTATTGCTTTCTCTTGTTTTCTTGGGCTGCTGTTTTGTAATATGATATCAGAGCCAATTTTTGGTCCTTGGTTCCTGGTACCATGATTTCCATTGATGTTGTTTCCATTTTCTAGAAATTCATGCTTCATGTTTGTACTAGATACTTTTTCCCAAACATTATCTGTCAAACTAGATGAGAAGAGCTTTCTCGAAGGGAATCAACCTAGTGAAGGAGTAATCTGAAGCTACCAACTAGAAAACTATGTACACAATCTGAAAATTCCTTCCAGATTGAGAGCCAGAGATAATGACCAAGGCGTAGTGAATCTAGCCTACGTTGAGTAGGAGTAGCAGGATTATCTTCACTTTACCTGGCTCCATCCTCACTTTTACTTCCCTTATTCCCTGGCTGTTTGGGTGTATTCATTCTTGGAAAGTTTTATGAGTCCCACATGAGATACTTGATTTGGTACTTAAGTCTTGACGTTCTCCCTCCTAAAAACAAGTTCTCTTAAACAAGCACAAGCAAATTCTTTTCACTTTAGAGCTGAGCTGCACTACATCAGAAAGAGGGTTAAGCACTTTTGAATATCTACTTAGAATAAAAGTTGTTGTTGATTCCATTCCTGGATTTTGATTGGAGATTCTGTCTCTGCTGAAGATCATCTTGGTTCAATTCTGGAGGTCTCCTTAATGAATTTCTTGTTTTCATTGTTGTGGTGAGTATTAGGCTTGGTCCATTCCTTATCAATGAAATTGACATGTTCGTGCTTGTTAGGGAGGATGACTTGAAAAGGGATAGAAAGCTGTACTGGGTGATACGCTTTCAATTGACCTTACTCAAGATTCTGAACTTCTGATCCCTCTTCAACTCCAGCAGCAGTTCCACGAACCATTGGTCCACTTACACCTAGTTCATACGTACAGTTTCCTCCTAATTTTGCATTATCCCTTTCATAGTGTGGGTAAATTAAATAATCTTAATGGTTGAGAAAAATAAATGGTTGATATTGTAACACATGATTAGTTATGCATATGCACATCAAGCATTCAGATTTTCTAATGAAGGACTAAGATTCTATACTTTTCCCTCTAAAGTTGCTCTCATTTAGAGGAGCTGGATCTGGTATTATGGCAGACTTCATGGTTCCTTTTATGTCAGAGGTAGCCACTTTCTCCGTGACAGAGGCCAAGGGGGGTTGTATTGATTATAGGGGGTTCCATTTAGTTTCAAATCTGCCCTAAATCAGGGCATGATGCCACTATATGTTACCACTGTTCATCACTTGAATATCCACCCTACAAATATTCTAAACACTGTGGATGTAGTTCTTCTCCATGGAGCTCAGGTCATTCTGCATGCACTACTTACTGGTCTAAAGGACCTTCCACACAAGCATCGTATCTGAATTCATGAACAACCCATTCTGTTTCTCCTAATTCCAAATGATTGTTTCATGGAACTCCATTAGAGGGTTTTGACCGGATCTTAATGGGAAATGGTCATGGTTTGTCCATCACAACTATTGGTTCTACAACTTCTCTCACTTTTCTCAACGCACACACCCTTTATCTTTGTTATTCTCACTGAGGTTTCTCTCTTTCTTTAACTTCCTCTCATTTTCCAAGGTTTCTTTTTTTGGCAAATTGTTTATAGAACGAGGGACCTTTTGAAAGTTAGATCATGATCCAATGACCAATACACTTGTTAAGATTGTAACATGTAGTGAAAATTGCCATAAGAGACAATTGTTTTAGTTAGTTACTTATTGTAAACTTAAGAGACAATTTGAATAGAGGACATCACTCGGGGAATTGATATTTGTTCTTACCTAGATTTAAAGGGTTGACCGAGCTTTGTGACGTGTCTTCCGAGGTGTTCCTATATGTGCAAAGGATGAGAGGGAACCACTTGCAAAGGTTCTCTTATGCCTAAGTCAGTGAATAAATGAGTAATAATAAGAGAAAAAGTAAGTATCTAATGAAAGGAATATCAAACCTTTTATAGGGTATCATTTGAGTATAACGACTCGAGAATTATGGTATATTTTATCCCTATTTTATAGGACATATGTATATATATCTTGCATAGAATCGAGTATCTTGGTCAATTATCTTATCTATCCTACTTTTTAGGATTGGGTAAGTACAATATTTTTGTACATTGTGACTACGGGCGTGAAACGAGTCAAACACTTGAATGGACAAGCTTTGTTGGCCAAAATAATATGGTGCTCATGTTTTGCTCATTAAGTCAACCAAATTTAAGTTTGGTTTGACTTGTTAGGAAAATATAAAGCTCAAGATTGACTTATTTAGCTCATTTATAACTGGATTATTTTTTAGTTTATTCAATATGTGCTTGAGCCTGAAGTATTTTCTAAATAATTTTACGCTTATTAAATATTTAATATATATGTTTCTTGTTAGAGGATAAAATTAAAGTAAGAAGGAAAAAGAATATTTTAACAAAAAAATGATATAATCATAATTTTTTTGATGAAAAGTTACAATTTATTAAGTATACCCTTCTGTAATATTAGTAATTTTACAATTAGATATGATTTGATTCCATTAATCAGAGAATTGTGATATGATTTTATTACACCAAATAAGAAAATATTATAGCAAATATTTTTCATTATTAATTATTAACTTTGTTCCTTATTACTATATCTCTCACTTATCATATAAATAAAATTATTACAAGTAACCCTTTTAATAATATACACCCACAGCCACACTCAAGCTTTTAATGTCAATAATGCTATAGTTTGAGCTTGACTCATTTATATAATAAAGCTCAAGCTAATATACTCTTATATGGAGAATAGTACTTTGGTCCAATTTCACATGGAAATCATCTTTCATGCTGCAAATGTATTTTCTTTCAAGATTTTTGGCATACTCTTAGCAAAACATGGTTCTGTTTAAGGAAAAAGTATGAACCGAACATACTACATCTTGAGTTTCTGATATATTATTTTGGTAAATCAATATTAGGAAGCTTAGAATCATCCTCTGTTTAAAATTTAATTATCTGTGATAATTTATTACTGTAGTGTTCATGGTAATTGTTGCTGTCATTATCCTTTACTAACTTTGTATTCATTCATATTAGCAGTAGTACTCTTCCCTACCTTTTCCTTCTCTTCTCAAATAGGCCCAAAAGATATGAAGAATGAGTAGACCAACTTAGATAAATTTTATGGAAATATGATGTTGTATTATATGCACTCTTTGAATCATTCATCGGGAATTGTGATTGTGTGTATTTTGTCTATAGCTTATGCTGTCAATAAATCAAAACACAGCTTGTAATGTCTTCAATGTTGTTTTATTCTTCAGCAGTTTGCTATTCCATGCTGCAATTCATTTATCTTCCTCGGTATGTATTTGTCTTGAATTCTCTAAAATTGTATATATAAGAAGTAAAGTTCTCTCTTGGTTCTTGGCTACATATAGAGTACAATCACATGAACTTAAAAGTACATCAATGCTTTGTTAATCTCAGATGCCACATAAGAAACATTCCCATTTTGTCTTTAATTTTCCTTTGATGCTGATATTTATTTCTTCTCTTTGATTTATTTTAACAACTTTTCTTTCTACAGTTATGATTACTCTGGGTATGGACAGTCAACAGGAAAGGTTAGTATGGTTATTTTTCAGCTCATTGAATCTTAATGTATAGATTTCACTGGTACAATCCTATTATTAACAGGTTTCTTTCCTTAATTTTCGAAAATATCATATCAGCATTAGTTCTAAATCTGAATACAATAATTAACTATGCTACTTAAACTGTCAATTTTGATCTAAAGATTTGAATACAAGGCTTCCAATTTCTCTCAATAACTAAGAGTTCTCACCTTTTACTGTGTATAAACCCTGCTCATTCTGAAATGTGAAAACCATAAGTCTAAATTATAAAATTATACATGGATGATCAAGATTTAAAGTTAGTCACATATGATCATTATAAAATCATGTGCATTTATCTTAGGTGTTATTGCACACTTTATCATCTAATTATCATCATTTTTGTGAATTTTACTACCTAATTTTATTTTTTTGTGCATTTTACAATTTTAGTGTATGTTACCCAACTGCCCATCATGGTTAGTTGAAATGGAAGTACATATGGATTATTGATGTGACATTAGCGTATTGACAAGTATAAAAGTAAAATGCATTAAGATTTGACAATAAGGTGGTAAAAATATGTAAATTTTTTTAAGTAGAGAGTAAAATGTACATGAAATAATAAATGATAAAAATGACAAGAATATTGGAAATGAGATAATAACACTTGCATTTTTCTTATTCAACAACCTGAAAGCCACTAAGTCATATTTAACTATTTTATTAATTAATAAAAATTATATTAAATATACTACTATGACGTTTGTTGATGGTATATTTAGTCTCCTAAAGTATGATCCGATTGTGTGAATTAATTATTATAATATAATTGCTTAAGATAATAAATTAAAAGTATATATAAAATAAAATAATGTTTAGTACATTTGGTCTCTCTAGTATGAATATTATATGCAAAACTATTAAGAGCTAAGATGATAAATTTATCTACTAAATACTTTTATTTTAAATAAACAAATTTATTCGTTATACAAATTATAAAGGGTAAAATGTGTTTTGCATCCCTCAAAATTTTCAAAATATATTAAGTATGTCCTCCAAAAATTTTACGTATTATTTTTGTCCTTCTAAAATTTAAACATATTTTTTAGGATTAGGAATCTAGTGTCATATTATTCATCACCTTAGTCTCTCCTTTCCTCTGGCTTATTTTGAATCCCTGAACTATGTTTTAGTATCAGATTAGGAGTCTGGGAATCCCTGAGCTATGTTTTGAATCATGAATCATATTTTTGTATCTAAGAGTAAGGTTCAGTTCCAATGAAAAATTATTTCAAATATATCATATAGATGATGTATATTATTCCATGTAAACAGCAAGGTTACTACTTCATACAGAAATTTAAAGGCTGCAATGAAGGTTACTTTGCTCAAGTCATTTGTCAATCACAAAAACAACTTTTGAAGCGAATTTCAACCTTCTATGAGTTTCCAAAGTAGACCATGTGTCATAATAAGGCTAAAAGTAACTATTTTGATCGCAAAAAGCTCTTTAGAACCCCTTGATAGCTTGTCTAGATCATTAGAGCAAAGTTTCAGGGAAAATGTTGGTTCTTTGCCGTATGTGGTATGTGTTAGATTGATTCCTACTTTTTAGCCATAGACATGAGTTAGAAGATATATTGTACTTGATTCCTTGTCAAGGTTATGCAGTTCATCTGAGTGTGTCTGCTCTACAAAGCCCCTTACATTTTGGTTAGTGGAAAAGTTGTTGCCAATTCTCAAGGAAGTTTTTCTTTTTACTGAAATTTATTATTACACTTAGGAATTTCGGGTTTCAATGTTTAAAGATTTGACTTAAATGACTTGTATATTGTATTAATAATCATCAACAGTGTTTGTCATCATGAATTTGCAAATTACATGTAATTTTAATGAAAAGGTAATGCTATCAGTAAATGTGTAGTTCATGTCAAATATAGGACAATATAACAAAATAATGTTATTTGATTTGTTATCTAGTATGCATCAAACATTGGATAAAATTAACATTTATCATGTTCTTATTCTATTACATTAATGTCATGTTTTTATATTCTATCATTGATCACTAAAAACAGACCATAAAGAAGATATTATAAACCTAATATTCTTAATTCTTGAACAGTTCCAGTTTGTTAATGAATGTAAAAGGACAATATTTAAACTCTTTAAATGGTTTTACGGCTAAATGTTTATCTGTATTGAACAAAGAAACTTTTATTTTACGTGCATAGTGAGCCACCGAAATTTTATGCAGAATACTATGGTGTTGTTGATGGTTCTTTTAGAGGGACATTATTGCTTTCAACTTAACAATCACCCTTTTTGCATGTTGAAACAGCCAACTGAATATAATACATACGCAGATATTGATGCTGCATATAAATGTCTAAAAGAGAAATACGGGGTGAAAGATGACCAGTTGATATTGTATGGTCAATCTGTTGGAAGTGGTCCCACACTTGATCTTGCTTCGCGGATACCAGAATTCAGAGGTGTTGTCTTGCATAGTCCAATTTTGTCCGGGCTTAGAGTACTATACCCTGTAAAACGGACATACTGGTTTGACATTTACAAGGTAGAGAGTCCTTAGTTGATTCTATTCCAATCTGTTTCATTCAATATATGAATATTTACATGGTTTGTTTTTCTTCTATTCAGAATATTGATAAAGTTGGTGCAGTCAAATGTCCTGTTTTGGTTATACATGTAAGTGCCTTTTTCTGCTCCCTCACCCCCATCCTCCCCCAATGAATATTTACATCTAGTTTTCTTTCAAGTTTTAGCTGTGAATTAAGTTAACCATCAATGCTTTTATATGTTTCTGGAATTTGCTTGATTAAATCAAGTAACTTGCTATTGTTGGATGTAATGTAATCCACTGCAAATATAAACCTTTATCTTATAATGACTTACTTTTCTTGTTTACCCTTCATATAAGAGAAATGTTAGCAACACACTATTATTAACTGAAATTGATAGGAAATTACAAAGTAGATCTCACTTTTTCTTTAATGATTTTCGCACATATCTTTGTAGTTTTCAATAAATTTTAACCAATAACAGAATGTTTTGGAGAGTGTGTTGTTAATGCCTCCCATCAGTGTAATGGAGCTAGTTGCCAATGTCTATAGTAGAGATCCTTAAACAGATTGTTAAGGGTGACTTCTTTAATTAAGTGTTTGATTGGTTATCAACCATTCATCATATATTCTTCCCAATGATGTGTTTTCAGTGTTCATTTTATATCTTTTCTTGAGAAGTTCGAAAGCAGAAGTGATGGCTACAATTTTTGCATGGGCAGGGAACAGCAGATGAAGTTGTGGATGTGTCCCATGGGAAGCAGCTCTGGGAGCTTTGCAAGGTAAAGTACGAACCCTTGTGGGTAAGTGGTGGTGGACATTGTAATCTTGAGCTTTACCCAGAATTCATTAAACATCTAAAGAAATTTGTACAGACAATTGGAAAATCCAAAGCAACTGCAAATGGTTCTAAAAAGGAAACTGTAGAATCTGAGAATGAAGGCAAAGCTAGTAAAGAATCTGAAAGTGGAACTTCTGGTACTTCTGAATTGAGTAAAGAAATCCCTGAAGTTTCTAGAAACAGTTTAGACAGCCGTCTTGAGAAATCTAAAAAACCAGAGAAACCAGAAAAATCTCGTATGAGCACAGACCATGTTGATAGGTTTAGAAGAAGAAAGGGGTTAGTTTGGTAGTCTCTCACAGGAATTCTGTATCCAGAATAATTTATCTGCTAGTAGTATTCACTTGGCAGGTAATCTAATTCCACTCTCATGTCACTTCTAAATGAATATATTGAGTGAGTTTTCTATTTTCTTTAGGTCCATAATTCAGCTGTATGTTAAATGATTGAAAGCAATATGCATTTCTATGGCCTGTAAAATCAACACCTTTATCTAAATGCAGTCATTAAGGTAATTTGTTTTTCGTAACTCTTTGTTTCAAGTGTCTCAGATGTTTTGCTTTTTCTTTGTCCTTGTCTTCCATAGGAATCAATCTCAACCATATACATCAAATGAATTGTTGTTTAAGATCAAAACTAATTGAAACAATCTTGGTCCTTCCTCTCTCGTCCACTTGTTAGACATGTCCCTTTATGAGTTGAAATGTGAGAATAATAAATGTAGAGCATGCAAATTATACATGAATGATCTAGATTAAGTATTAGGACATGTACATTTATATTTTAATCTTGATCATCCACAAGTGATCTAGTAAGTAATGAACATTAGATCTTGTTATAAATGATCACAATTAACACATAGAACTGATGTGATGTATAATTTATTAGAATTAAAGTGAGTTAAAATTCCAATGGAAATGATAAAGTTGAATAGTAAACAAGTGATTCAAATTTTGGGTGAATTGTGATATTATATTTTTTATTTATAATTGACTCGATTTATTCATGAATATCTTATATAAATTTGTATTTTATAAAAAATGTTGAAAATGAAATTTAATAATTTTTTACACCTGCCATTAAAAAATCTATAGTGGCACTTGATGAAACACTTTTTAATAAAAAGAAAAGGGAAAAAACAACTGATAAAGTGGAATATCCTTTTCCTTAATGTTGAAGTTTAGTAAGTGCATTTCTCATCAACACCACTTTTTAGAACATGCCAAAACATTCATGACATTATGCATGGTGACAAAGTAATAGGTTCATGCCAAGGTGTCATGATGCACATAGTTTGTTTTGTGCCAACGTTCATGTCCCATTATTTTATATATATATAAAACATGTATGTTTTGAATGGACAAATGTGATTGTTTGTCCCATGTGTAAAAAATGTTTTTTTTTTTTTTTTTTAATGTTGTTAAGATTCCAACATAAAACCAATTGATAATACGTGGAATAGTTTAATATGTATTTAAACCATACTAAATGATATGAGGTAGACAATGTGGGACTTTCAACACACCCCCTCAAACGAAGCCTGCCGGACCAGGCAAAGGGTATTTTTGACCCAACTAAAGGGTAACTTTTGGCCCATGATAATAACCGGAAAGATGTTAGATTTTGGTTCTGATACCATGTTAAGGTTTCAACATAAAACCAATTGACAATATGTGGAGTAGTCTAACATGTATTTAAACCATATCAAATGATATGAGGTAGGCGATGTGAGACTTTAAACAAGTGTAAAATTATATTGATAAAAAAGTTTTTTTTATGTAATTTTTTTTAAAATATTTATGCAGCATAATCATGGTAGAAACAATTTCCTTGAACCAAAATTTAAGGTTAAAACTTCCATAAATCCAAGCAAAAAGATTATGCTTCTAAAGAAAATTATTTTCATAATATAATGATAAACTTGTTCAAATGTTTAAAAAAGGAACCTTTTTTTATTTTTATTATTTTACCTCTAATAAAAGCTACCATTTTAATGCTTATGTAATAATTTAAACAGTAACTTGAAGCTAGAAAAGTTAAGTTATTGATAAATAATTTCTCATGGGATGGCATCACTTTCTTTTATGAAATTAAATTTGCTAGATATTGTAATCACTTTAGTGAGGATCAGTTTGACTAAATTTGAAAATCTAAATTCCATATATTAGAATTCCATTTAAATAAATTTTTATATTTCCAAAATTTACTCGTATAAATTGATTGCTGTTTTCAATGTTTTTAATATCTAATATTTAGTAAATATTTTAATTTTATCCTAACAATAATTATGTTAAGAATATTAACATGTAATTAATATGTGAATATCATTAATTCAAAATTAACAAAATTTTATCCTATTACATTTTACAATGATATTTTTAAGTGTAAAATTTAAATTACAGAATACGTTTGAAATAAAGGAGTAGGTTAAGAGCTTTATAAGATAAAAAACAAATATTCTTGTATAAAATTCGTTTAATTTTAAAATTTCTTTTTCATCCACTTTTATTTGAGTGAGAATTTTGTTATTTTGATAATTTCATTACAATTTAAATATATTTTTATTTTTTACATTTAGTAAATTTTAATTTTGGTCCTTATAAAATTTGTTCCTGTGAAATATTTTTCTTTGATTGTCATCCTCTAAAACTTAGAATTATTATTTTAGTAATTAATATTCATTTGAATATAAATAAATAACATTATTTTACAGATGTTAAGATATTTTTAAAATATAATATGATATCATTATATCACACCGTTCCTTTAAAACTATCACTTAACTTATAAACTCAGTACATAAACAATTCATTAGTGTAATATACATTATAATTATAAAAATATAAATAGTTATTTTTGTGACGTCTTTTTTTATTACGATATTAACCGTATTTTTGATAGATTATTACTTTTTATTAATTTTTGACAAAAATAAGATATGAGATAAATATTTATATATTTATATGTATAAAGACGTGAACTTTACAAGTTTACATTGTTATTATATCAGAAACAATTATTAAAATTGACAAAAAAAAATTCTAACAATGGTTGAATAATACATATTTTCTATCTTGATGCTTCCATCTATTTATATTGATATTTTAATTATAACATGCACAAGAAATAACAATAAGGAAGTGAGAACAATTATCATTTAAAATAATATCATCTTATAATGATATATAAAATATATTTTTCAACTTCCTCAACATATTTCATTTATTCCATTTATGAAGATTTATATTAAATTTACAGATGACTGATTAAGATAAATGAGCCCAATTTTAATCACTCTCTCAATAATATTTACTCATTTCAATTCCCAATATCCAACCTCCATCTATAATATCATCAAATCTTCATAAATAGATATTATTATTTAAAAATAATTAAATAATATAAATATAAATCAATAAATAGAACCAGGTGCATGAAGATAAAATAAAATAAACAAACATGACCAATAACTGAAAATAAATAAATAAGACCAAGTGTAGGACTCGAAGATAAATAAATAAACTTAAGATAAGACCAAGTACGTAAGCTGTAGATAATTAATATATGACCAATGTATAACCGTAGATAAATAAATAGACGTAAAACATACCAGTAAGTAGTTGAAGATAAATAAATAAGTAACAAAATAAATAGAATGAGGTTAGAGACACCTCATTCCACAATTATATAAAATAAAATAAATAAAATGATAATAATCTCCTCCCCTATTTCAATATTATAGATGATACACCAAAATTTGTTTCAAAGTTGTTTCTCTTTTCTTCTTCTCTTCTCTCCTCTTTCTTTTCCTTCTCTCCCTTTCTTACCTTTCTTTTTTTCTTTTTTCACCACCCCCACCCCTTTTTATAGTAACATTTTTTACTTTTTTTTCTCATTAATTCTTCTTATCCTTTTATTAAATTAATATTGTTTTTAATCTTTAGTCAATTAAAATTTATCTCTTCTTGTAGGAAGATATAAGAAATGTTATCTTTTTTTTACATGTTAATAATAATATATAATATAATAATAATAATTATTATTAATTCATATTATATCTATATATTTTAATTGTAATAGTATATAATAATAATAATAATTATTATTAATTTCATAATATATTATAATAATAATTATTGTTAATTTCATATATATATATATATTCTAATTGATAATAATTATTTTATTATTATTTTAATAAATATATTTTTTATAATAGTTTAACAATAATATATATATATATATATAAAATATTTTCATTTATTTATTTACATAAATGAGTCTTTTTAAAGTTATTTAAATTACCTAAAATATTTTTTAATACAATATATTTGAAGAAAATTTTACATAAATTAATTTTTTGATGTTACATTCCCTATACTTACAGAAATTTCGTCCTCGAAATTTTTATTGACTAAAACAGATGAGGGTAACTTTCTTTGATTCTCTTTTCTAATTTCCATGTAGCATCTCTAGTAATTTCATTTCAAACAAATTTCATTAATGAAATTTGTCTTCCCCTCAATTGCTTCATCTTCATATCTGTAATCTGTATAAACATTATTTCAAATGTAAGGTTATCCTTTAATTGTACTGTATTTGAAATTATTACATGAGAATGATCAAAAATATATTTTCTCAACTGAGACACATGAAACACATTATGAAGCTTAAAAAAGAAAGGAGGTAAGGAAATTTGGTAAGCAATAAGACCTATTTTTCTAAGAATTTGATAGGAACCAATAAATCAAGGAGTGAGTTTTTTTTTCTTTCATTACTCTACCAACTCCAGTTGTCGGTGTTACTTTCAAGAATACATGCTCACCTTTTTGGAATTCAAGGGGTCGTCTTCTTTTGTTAGCATAACTTTTCTGTCAACTTTGAGTTGTTCTTAATTTTTCTCGAATCATCTTAATTTTCTCTGTGGTTTGTTGAATCATGTCAGGACCTAAGATTAAATTTTCTCCAATCTCAAACCAACATAAATGTGTTCTACATTTTTTCCCATACAATGCCTCATAAGATGTCATACCTATGCTAAAATGAAAGTTGTTGTATGTGAATTCGATTAATGATAAGTGTCGATCCCAACTACCAAAATCTCCTAACACACACGCTCTCAACAAATCTTCCAAAAATTGGATGGTTCTTTCTGATTGTCCATTAGTTTGAGGATGATAAGCTAAACTAAGATGAAGTTTAGTCCCTAAGGCTTGATGTAAGCTCCTAAGAATTTAGAAGTAAACCTATGATCCCTGTCAGAAATAATATTAGATGGAACTCCATGTAACC